GAAAGAGAGAAAGCAAGCCATCCGGTCCAGGACTCCAACTGTGGTCAGCCATGTGGAATTCAGCACCCCAACAACCACACCACCTGCTGGTCCAACAACCACATTTTAAAACACACATTTCCATAGCATTTTTACTGCAACCAGAATAAGGACATTCTTTTTTCCTAGTTAGTTTCAGTGAAGGCATATTTGTAGAGAGGAAAGACCTGACTTTACCTGTGGGCACAGACTCCTCTTGAGTGCTTTTCAGTTCCACATTTGGTTGTATATCTGAAAAGAAAGTTGAAAAATATTAGCTAGTTAGTGCATGTTTCTGTGAATCTGAGCATCCCAAATTTAATGAGAATATCATTTTGGAAACTGTAGTAGAATTCCTCTTTCAAAGCAGCGCGATTCCTCTCTACCTTCCCAAAAAGTGCATCAAAGAGAATAAAAGGTGAAGCTATGTTACCCTAAGAACATTCTGCCAGATATTTACTTAGACCAAGAACAATGAGAAAGAAGTGGATCACATTAAATTTCATACATCTCTTATTATTTATATCCACAGTATTTTACTATGAACATTTTCTAAACATGTAGAAATAAAAGAATTACACAGTGAACACTCTGTTCCCTACCAACTAGATTCTAAAATTAACATTTTTCTATTTTTGCTATCATGTTTTTCCACCTATTCATCACTCAATACACCCATCAATCCATTTTACTTTTTTGATGAATTTGAAAACAAGTTGCAGATATTGTTATACTGTACTTCATTTAAGCATGTATATAATTAGAATTCAGTATTCAGTATTTGTTAACAAGATTTTTTAAAGGTAAAATTTACATGCAGTGAAATGCACGGATCTTTTTTTTTGTTGTTCTGGGGGGATGTTTCTGCTATAGGGCGCATGTGCTCCCCAGAGAAAAAGAGAGACAGAAAGCAAGAAATCACCCCCCCTCCCCAGGGGGGAAGGCCATGCTGCAATCCCTTCTCCTCCATTCTCGTCTTAGGATCTTGGGCACACACGCACAGGTGCCCGATGTGAGTTTAAGCCACCAGGTCCAAGACTCGAATCGCGGTTGATTACATGGGAGTCCAGCAACATAGCCACTACACCAACTGCTGGTCCCAAAATGCACAGATCTTAAGCATGTCACTCAACGGTTTTTTAAAAATGCATATCCTCCTGTAATATAAACCCTTATCAAGATACAGAACATTACCATCATCCCAGAAAAGTTCCCTTATGTCCCTTCCTAATCAATCCCCACCCACATACTCCAGAGACAACTACTATTTTGACTTTTTTCCATCATGGATTAGCTTACCCTGTTTTAGAACTTTATAAAAATGGAATCACACAGACATATGGTATACTCTTTTGACTGAGGCTTTTCTCACTCAATATTTTTGAGATGCATCCATTCTATGGTATTTATCAGGAGTTCACGCTTTTTTATTGCTAAATAATATTCTACTATATGAATATCCCAATTTGTTTATCAATTCTCCTGATGTGGACAACTAGATTGCTCCTTATTTTAAAATAAAGCTACTATAATATTTTTATAATAAGCTGTTAAATTTTAGAATAATTTAAAATTTATAAAAAGTTTACAAATATAGTACAGCATACAGTGCATATTTTATTATTGTTGAAGTATTCAAACTTCCTTAATTTTCACCTAATGTCCTTCTTCTCTTCCAGCCTCCCACATTAATTTATTCATCATGGCTCCTTGGTATCTGCTTGGCTGTGATAGTTTCTCAGACTTTCCTTGTTTTGACGGCCGTAACAGTTTTGAGGAATTACTGGTCAGGTATTTTGTAGAATGTCCTCATCTGAGATTTGTCTGTTTTTCTCACGTTTAGACTGGGATATGATCATCTTCATCCAAGTCTTTCTGTGGCCATATGCTTTCAGATCTTTTGAGTAAATACTTCGGAGTGGAATTATTAGGTCATTGGGTAGGCACATGTTTAGTTTTTTTTGTAATTTTATTTATTTTGTAATTTCTTATTTAATTGTTGTACATATTTGTAAGGTACAATATAGTTTTCAGAGCATGCATGCAGTGTGTGATAATCAAATCAAGGATATGGGACCAGCAGTTAGCGTAATGGCTATGTTGCTGGACTCCCATGTAGTCAACCAAGGTTCGTATTGTGGATCCGGTGGCTTAAAACTCACGCCAGGCGCGTGTGCGTGCCCAAGATCCCGAGAGGAGAATGGAGGAGAAGGGATTGCGGCGTAGCCATGCCCCCGGGGGGTGATTCCTTGCTTTCTATCTGTCTGTCTGTCTCTGTCTGGCGAGCGCACACGCCCTATAGCAAAAACCTCTCCAAAAAAAAAGGATATTATCACATTCATCATGTTCAACAAACAACATTACGTTATGTTGTGTACCTTTAATTTTTGTCCTATTATTTTTTAATACACACACACACACACACACATGTATTTATATATAAGATTGGCAATACCTTTTTTAAAACTCATGGTGGTACACCATATTGCCTAGTTTACGTGCACTGTGTCTGTTAATCATCTTTTCCTGAGCCTCTCCCACAACCTCCTACCCTCTGTTCAGTCTTTGCTATCTAACAATTGCCTTTTCTACTTTTATGTCTTTGAATCTTTCAATTTATGCCAGAGTGCAGATATTCAGTACATGTTAAGTGAGAACATACAGTGTTTGTCTTCATCATTTGTCTTATTTCACTTTGCATTTAATCTTCCAGATTCATCCACTTGTGTCAAATGACAGGATCTCATTGTTCCTTTTTTCAGAGAGGGATTTTTGCTATCGGGCACGTGCACTCACCAGAGAGACAGAGGGAGGCAGAGAAACAGAAAGCAAGAAATCACCCCAGGGGGCTGGCTGTGCTGCAATCCCTTTTCCTCCATTTTCCTATCAGGATCTTGGGCACACACGCACACGCTCCTGGCATGAATTTTAAACTACTGGGACCGGGACTTGAACTGCAGTTGACTACATGGGAGTCCAGTGATGTAACCATTATGCCATCTGCTGGTCCCACATCTCATTGTTCTTTATGGCTTACTAGTATTCCATTGTGTATATGTGTCACATGTTCTTTTTTTTTTTTTTTTTTTTGAGAGATTTTCACTGTAGGGCGCGTGCGCTCGCCAGACAGACAGAGAGAGACATAGAGACAGAAAGCGAGAAATCACCCCCCAGGGGGGATGGTCACGCCGCAATCCCTTCTCCTCCATTCTCCTCTTGGGATCTTGGGCACGCACGCACACGCGCCCGGCGTGAGTTTTAAGCCACCGGGTCCGGGACACGAACCGCGGTCGACTACGTGGGAATCCAGCGACATAGCCATTACGCTAACTGCTGGTTCCCATGTGTCACATGTTCTTAATCCAGTCATCAGTTATTGGGCACTTAGGTTGATTTCATGTCTTAGCTACTGGAAATATTGCTTCAATAAATATGAATATGAGAACGTCTCTCTGACAGAGTAATTTCATGTCCTTTGGGTAAAAACTCAAGAGTAGGATTACTGGGTCATATGGTTGTTCTATCTATAAATTTTTGAGAAAACCTCATATTGTTTTTCTTTTTCTTTTCTTTTCTTTTTTTTTTTTTTTTTGAGAGGTT